TCCCCTTAGTTTTTAATGGATGATGCGGTGCGATCTTGCAATAGGGCTTTTGTAGTCACCATAAAGCATTAGAGTAGCTTCCAAAGAGTTGGTGTTCGATGAAGAAGCTAATCTCATGTTATTATTTTGCCACGGTAATTTTTCTAAAAACCTTAGGTTTCAGTCATGTCATACTGTCAATTATAGCTGCTGATATTTTTGGCTCCTTGAATCCCCATGAAAACTTAGAATGATGATGTCATCCTGAGTTGTAAGTGTTTGAGTAGGGGTTATTGTTGCTCCAATTGTAGTTCCCCACATAGTCTCTAGAATCATGGGTTTCTAGGCAATCACTCACATGATGATTGCCACGACAAAGTACATAAGTTGATCTAGCTACCTTGACTTCCTTTACTTCGCTAGGGCGTTGAAGATTTTTCAACATGTTGGTAATGGTTGAGAGTTAGGCTGAATGTCCTTAGCATCCAACTCGAAGGTTTCTTGAGCTCTCCTCCCCGTTTACAGCCTTATAGAGAAGAATTGATAGTCATTGTTTGCAATCCTATCTAGGATATCAATTGCTTCTTTACGTGACTTGTCCAACAAAGTTCCATTTGCTGAAGCATCCAATATCATCCTCGTTGGAGCATTCATACAATGGTAGAAAATAACAACTTCTGGCCAACTATGGGATCCATGGTTCGTGCACTTGCGTAGGAGTCCCTTGTATCTATCCCAACACTCATACATCGATTCGTCATCATCTTGATGAAAGGAAGCAATGTCACTCCTAAGTTGGGCATTCATGTTGGGTGATTATGCCGCAACAATTTTTTTTTGCATAAATCTGACCATGATTTTATTGAACCGGATGAAACTCCACTAAGCCATGTCCTAGCTCGATATCTCAAGGAATATGGGAATAACAACAATTTTAGCACATCTCGTTGTCAGAATGAATCACAAATATCTAATAAAGCACGAATATGTTGTCTCGAACCCTTATGAGGTGCACCACAAAACTTTCCAATCAAGTCCAACATGTCGAACATCAAGGGTTTGAGCTCAAAGTTGATTGCTTGAATATTTGGAGCTATAATTCCAGGGTTGAGATCGTCCAAATTGTGAGCTAGATGGTCTCTAATAGTATGTGTACAAGCTATAACTTCATCATTGTGAATTGTTGTAGCATTTTGATCTGTAGGGTTCTCAAATGGATTTTGAACTCCGTGCATGGCTCTTTTAGTACCTTGAACATGTATTCTTTGATGAAAGAGTTGTTCTTTTTCATGTACCAAAGAAAACAATGGTTTCTTAGATCCTCTATGGTCATGTAACAGCACAACACCTGAAAAAATGAACAAAAATAACATGTAAATTTATACAAAAAATAAGAAAGTGCAATAAGTAAACTTAAAATACCAAATGCCAATCCCCGACAACGATACCAAAATCTTGATTGCATGTGTGGGTTTACTATAATATGACACGCAATGATGCATAAGTATACACAAGAATCATCTCCACAGGGATTGGAGGGATTTCCAAGTTAAGTTAATGCACTAAAACTATATATAATAATGTATAACTATGTGATGGTATAAACAATTGAGAATGTTGTGGTAAAATGGAAATTATGTAGGTGGAAATGCTATGGTAATATGGCAAGCATAGAGTATAAAATGTTGTGGCAAACAATATAGTAGAATCTGGGAATGAATAGATAACCTTACACAAACAAGCTATAATGGGGATAATTGGTAAGTCATTAAGGAATCCTACGCCTCATCTTCTAGAATGGTTCAAGCCTTTCATGCCTATACTACTCGACAGAGTTTGCTAAAAGTGTCCCTAGGCTATCTGTAATAAGGAACTTGATAGGGAAAAATGCTACAATAATACCTCTCAGTGTGAACAGCATCAAAATCCTATCGACTAAGTAGTACTCTTTCTAGTCATTGAAATCATATTTTATCTCTAAGGTGGATTAGGGTTTAGTAAGCAGCTAGGCCTCATTACTCACGTTGATCTCATATAACTCTCTCGAATATTAGGCATCAAACTTAGAAAATATCTACTCTCGTAAGCTCTTATAATCCTAAGTAAATAAATACAATGAATAAAGCAAACCTATAACATAAAAATATAAACCATTCATTTCCACAAACACTTAATTATCCATAGTTAAGCCACACCAAATAAGGTTAGTTCATGGTGGGGTACAAATCATCCAAAAAAATAACTTGTTCCATAACAATACACAAAATAGAAATGGAATGAAAGCACGAGGTAAAAGAGACTCCTAACACTCACACTGTCGTGAGCTCCTTGGGCCATCATGAACCACTTTAGCAAGCTAGCTTCTCTCAAAGGCCTAGCTTACTACCCCTTGAAGCTTTACTATAGAGGACACCATGAGGAGGAGGAAGAAAAAGAAAAAAAATGGAAACTTTATAGTCGCCTCTTAATCTCTCCCTTATCTCATATTCCCAAAAATCTCCTATAAAATATAGGGCATCTTTTTCTATTTATAGGGGGAAGATTCCTAGGGTTTTGTGTTAAATTACCTTTGTACCCTAGTTATCATTCCCTTCATGTGAAGGGGTTGGCATGGCTGGTAGTGGGACCTATAAAGGTAGCTGGCAGAGAGAATCACATGTGAACATGGATAGTTGGCAGCTCTCATAAAAAATCTTCATCCTTTTTGTCTTTTTCTTCCTAGGAAACCGTCCAGAATGTTGTAGCATTTCACCAAGTCTCATCATCCAAAATGCTATGGAAAATAACTACTTTTCCTTTAGCCCTATTCACCTACACATCATCACAAGAGCACAACCTTTCCCAATAAGCACCACTAGTTTTCAAAATAAAATGATGCAGCAAAACAACATCACCATATGCAACTACATGGACCTAAATGCAATTGTACCTTTAGACAACTAATAATCTAACTAATAACCTAAGTAAAAAGGCACGAAATATAACCATTTTATGTGGTTATCACAAACAAAGACATATCTATTTTTAAATCTTGAGGATGCCAAAGGTACACTAAATGTTAGATGTGGACATAAAGGATTAATGAGTGAATGTTCATGAATGAATACTCATCCTTTTAATGAAATACAATGCACGTCCTTAAGTATGTTCATGGAGAAATTAGATAAATGAATGTTCTTAATAGAATGTATATTGTAGGCCGAATTCATCATCCCTTGTGTATACATGTTGATTTGTTTCCTTGCATGAATTTGAAAAATGAATTCATGATGGTTCGACCCCCTTTTGGATCTATGTGTATATATTGATTTCACACGCCTGGAATGAATGGAATTGGATGAATATACAAGCTTGATGAATGTACTTGAACTACTTTGTGTTCATCCTACTTTTAAGTGTATACAATAATTACTATAACGAAAGTGAATTAAAATTTAATGACTAGCATTATAATTTAGCATAATAAAAGTGTGCTAAAAAGTTAAGTGACTAACATTGCAATTTAACCTAGTAGTAATAATAATAATATATAGCAAAAGAAGGAATCCCAAGATTATGAGATAGAGAAAAGACAGAAAGTGAATATAAATACTAGAAAAAGAAACAATGATGTGCCACACAAACCACCAAACAGCTTTCTCTCATCGTTTAGAAAGAGAAAGCACCCCACATAAACCAAAATATAAAAATCTTCTGTCCTTCCTCTTCCAGAGTTTCATTACATTAAATTCGTTTCTCTCGTCTTTGGTTTTCTTTTCTTATTCCCAAAACCCAAAGTGATAATCTAATTGTTTTCATCTCTTTTGTCTAATACATCTTCTCTTGGGATTGTTTTGCTTTTAATTATCTTCAATGTGATCTGGTTTATAAAGTTAATAGTTGGGGGAGAAACAAGTGGAAAGTATAGTTTTTATTTTATTTTGTGTATGTATCCCAGGGTGGAATGCTTTCATGGGTTATTGTTCCTGGTGACTTCTTTCTCCCTTCACATTTTGGGGTTCGGTGGATAAATTTTGAGCTTTGTTTCTTTTGTTTTTTATGCCTTCATGCCTTGGCTTGTTTAAAGCTTCATGGGTTGCATTTTATATGTGGAATTTGTTTTCGTAAATGTTGATGTGCTTACAATTATTGGATTTTGACAAGAAGTTCTGTTTTACTGGGTTGAATCTGTGTTTCTGTATTCATAATCAGTGATTTTCTTTCTCTTTTTTATATGCTTATAAAAACTGAAGACAATGTGGTTTCAATGGCTTCTGCTACAACTTTCCCTTTAATTTTACTATCATTCATCTTAATCACGCTCCAGTTAAGAAAAGATAGTTATTTCTAGATGTAGGAATGAACCTTTTTCCCCGGGCATCCCTCAAGCTATGCAAGGGTTGAGTTCAATGGTTCTTATATGTATTCGCTTATTGATCTCTAGTAACCAGGGACTTAAATGCTGCGATACCCACAATGATTCAAGCAACTGACAACGTGACCTCAGCTTCAATTTAAATCCCTCGTAGCATCCTTTATCTTTTTCCCGGAAAAAGTTAACTTATGGATGAAGTTGAGTTGAACCTTTTATTTATCTATTAGAATATATCACTTCAATGTTGTTAAACATTATCATTCTGGGTGATTCCTTTACACCATATCATGAGATAACATGTCCTACAAACAGTATGTTTCAATCCGAAACTGTTGAGAAAATGCAATCTTTATTTGTGTTGCTGAAGTTAGTTATATATTCTTTGATTTATATGTTTCAATTACCATGCCTTCAGTTTCTGTGCTTCATAGAGCCGAATCATCTGTATTTTTCATCATAATACTATCTGGCTACTATAACTTGTCTTGTTTTAGTAGTAAGCCTAAATTTTTAGATTACATTCATACCAATTCAGCAAGTTTACACAGTTTGAAATATTTATAATGTTTTAAACTGTTCTATGGAAAAGCATGCAAGTAGGTAGTAGAATTACCATAAACGTCTTGCAGTGACTGTTGTCAACTTGGTATTTCTGTTTAAATTTTTTTGTTTCAAATGGAAATAATTGTCAGCAAGGAGTTGACCTATTTGCATGCCATGAAACTGATGAAGCTTTTTTCAACGCATATCTCTTAGTTATTAAAACCGGAATTTCTAGACAAGTGTACGGCGCCACGAAAGGTATCTTCCCAAAATTGGCTTACTTAATGGCAATCAGTCTCGCAATTTCACATCCTTGTTGATTATTATTAGTGGTACTGCACTATCTTATAACCATAATTTCTCTATGGAAACTGTGCAGAAATGGAGAGCAAAGGACTGTAAAATAACATTTCAAGACTCAGTTATTTGAGGATGCTAGATCTGATATCAATTAATGTATTTGTTCAATTTTTATGAGGAAAAAAATGTTAGCATGAGATTTTGATATGAATTCAGTGCCACCAGCCGCTGATTCGCTTAAAGATATTTTCAAGCAGACAATGCTTGATCAAGAAATCATATTCAGAAAACAGGTACAAGGATATCCTTTGTGTCTCTTTGCATGTACTTTGCCATATATTTATGTTAAAAAATGGCATCAGAGCTGCCACGGTTTCATTTCCTAGAAATAATTTCCCTTTCATGGGTCAAGCCTTTAGCCGTCTTGGTGGGGGAGGTTTTGGCTTGAAAATTTTGTTCTTGCTGATTTATTCATTTCAAACGAGATGAGTTAATGTGATTTAAAGTTATATTACAACTCATTGTTTTTATGATAAGGTGGAATGTGAGGCTGTGGATGCCAAATTTGCTGAATGGAAGAAGCATGCATCTATCCTCACTCTCAATGCTTATACTCTAGATGTCTGTTTTTCAGGTTCGTGAGCTCCATCGTTTTTATATTGTTCAGAAGTCTCTAATGAAGGATCATACACCCCTGGAGCTTGAAACGAACAATTCATGGAAATCAAATGCTCAATCATTTCCCCGAGAAACTGGACTCCCAACAAATTCGGTTCGCATGGTAATTGAAGCTACTGTCTGATTATGTTAGAAGCCATCCTTGAATATTTTTTCTGCTTTAAAAGGTCGTTTTTGTGTTGTCATAAGCTTTCGAACAATGTTGTAAACGAAAATCTTGTTAATTCGTTGGGCTTTACCCATAAATTACTTCATGTAGCAGGTTTCTTCCTGCTGCTTTTGGCTTTTGAAATAGAATTCCAACCATCCAGAAAAGGAAAAAGTTGAACTTCATGGATTTTGATTTTTACTTATCAGTTTCCCTCTTCCTTGAGTGGTTATGAAAAAAAATGCCATAAATCTAAAGCTTTTGAAGGTTAGATATATGATGTGTAATCATGAAGATTTGGTTAAAACTATTTTATCATAAGAGAAGTCTACTTGAAAGTTCTTTTCTTTAGCATGCAGCATCATGACTTTCATCTTCTGGGAAGTGTCTGTTCTTTTGTACGGGAAGTGTTAACTGATCTAACATGTTTTCCCTGTGAAATTTTGTTCAGTTGGACTCGAGAGTGTCTTCTAGTCTGGAGTTATCAGAAGGTTGGCAGGGCAATAGCTATAAATTTCAGCCAAGGCCTTTCAATCTTCAACTTATACCTGATCAGTTTATGACTCTCGCGGATGATAATCTTCCAAAGGAAGTAAAGGTTGGGGATCACTTAAAGGAATACATGGATGTAAATTCTCTCCATGGCGGTCATTTCTCGGATCCACTGGAGTTGAGGCTTTCTCTAAGCCTTGGAGTGGCGGAAGGAAAACAGGAAGATAAAGACCGAAGTAGGTATGACAAGAAAACTAATGCCTGCTCTAAAATTTTCATTGATTTGGAGGAATCTACGGAGCTGACCACGAATGAAGATGAAAAACATTCATCTTTTGATGCTGCTGAAGTTACTTATTCTGGAAGGAACCATGATTCACAAGTTTCAATAATTTCCGATCCAATCACTTCAGGATGCATGAAAATTGATTTATCTCATGAGATAGCTATGACTAGCTCCTTTGTTGGTGATAGCAACCGGCAAGAGCGGAGGTATTCTGTTCAAGGTACTGGTAATTTGCTTTACCATTAGAAGCTGCATTTTCATTGGGGTTCTATTCTTGTTTCTTGTTCAGTTGAAGCACATGTTTTGTATTTATCTTATCTTCATTTGTCCCATTTGCAGGATTAAAACACAGTGAAAATATGTCACATGGAAAACTTTTGACCGGGAAGCAGCAGCTTGCTTCATGTAGAGTGGGATGTGTGGACCTTAATAAAGTTCAGCTTGATGATTCGTCCTGTCACTCAGATGATGTCGTACTGGTTCGTCACTTGATTAACTCCAATCATCAAGACCGGGGAAGAAAATTTCAAGTCAAAAGTTCTGTTAACAGTGCAAGGAATGAATGTCAAACAAGCTTTATTAGTCCTGCATCTGAATCCGGGCTCCAAACTAAAATGTCCGAGGACAGTGGCAGCCACGATGGAAACTTAAAGATTGGAAGGGATGATATGATGCTGAAACTACAAAATGGTCATGTTCACGTTTTGGACCCTGCACGTGTAGTTGCTATACAGTCAGGTTGTGAGAAGACTGGAGAAGGGGACAACGTGTTACATTCTGATAAAATGCTAATTACCGTTGAAGATGAACATCCCAATAGGTCTTCTCCTTCAGGGAAGTCTAGCTGCATTTCCGACGATGATTCTAGTCCTATAAAGATTATGGAATCTGGAATGCAACCCTATAATTCAAATCTTGCTGATTCTGATCAGTTTTCAGGAATCAATGGGAGATCTAAAGTTGCAGAAAGTCTATCAGGTGTGCAGGATCAAAGATCTTCTGGTAGTAATGGAATAAAACACGAATGTTACAATAACAGAGTAGAATCAGCTGAAGTTGATAATTTGATCCAAATAGCAGCTGAATCACTATCTCTCTGAAGAACTCAGCTTGCCATCAGGAATCTTCAACCCAGACAGCATCCAACGAGCAAGAGAATGAGGACAAGGAGCAGTCACAGTGTTCCTTTCATTCATTCAACTTAATGACTTTGAAACAGGCAGAAAACAGCGCTGATGATTATTCTATTTTGTCGAAGCCGTTTGAATGGAGCGATGGGCTGACAAAAGACTTCGGCCCCAAGTTGAGAAGAGGAAGGAGACTGAAGGATTTTCACAAGGACATACTTCCGGGTCTCACATCTCTTTCTAGACATGAAATTAGTGAAGACATAAACATTCTCGAGGGAGTTTTAAGATCAAGGGAGTACAAGAAAATGAGGGCTGAGATGGCTAATGGAGAGAGGTGGTGCAAACCGGTGAGAAGCAGACGGTCAAGACTCAATTATGTTGGAAGAAAAACTTTTAGATGATGTTCAAGTGTACGTTCGAATCTTCTTCAGATTTTTAACATTTACGTATTGTTTAATCCGATATCTGTGTAACTGCGAATCATCTTTAAGCCCATTCATTGATTTAGAGATATCAGCTAGCTTCAGATGCATTTCTTTCTTTTAGTCCATATAGTAGTCGTAAAATCATGACAGAAGCTTCAGGTGTACTTTGTGTTTCAATGAACCCAAGATGGGGTTCCATGTTTATGAAGTTGCTCAAGAAGTTAGCCTTATGGCTCGATATAGAGCAAATGGATTCAGGGAATTGCTTACCCTCCTCGATGGATCAATGTGATCCGACTGTAAGAGGATCGGAAAAGGTCCGTTGCCAGAATCCCACAATGCCGATCAATCTGAATTGCAAACCATGCCATCCACATATTTTCAGGCAATCAGTCTCCCCACAATTTAGTCAATGAAAAAATGCGATGGTTTTGTCAAATATGAACGATAGAACAGAATTTTATCTTTCTCTATCATTAGAAGGGATGAATTTAGAAGATATTTTTAATATTGATGTTCCATATGATAACCAATATGTTTGGAGGTCTCCCAACTTGGCTTCATATAGAATAAGAGAATATGAATGAAGAGATTAGACCAATACATGAAAAATTTTGTTAAAAAGTAAATAGATATACGTGAACAAACACTACTAATTAAAAGCTACAATATTAAATAATAAATATATTCACTAAATAAAATACAACCAAGAGATTTAATTGTTCATCAAAGATACATCTGTTCAACAAGAAATATAACTTTTTGTTTAATATAAACATTAATTTATCATTCATCAGCCAACAATTATATCTTTTATTTTCCAACAGATAGGACATTCGCTTACATATATATATATATATATATTGCCCTCATTCTCCTCTTTTTATCTTTAGTTTGAAGAAAATATTTAGTTGAATTTGTTAATGATCCTATGATGATCAAATTCTACATGGGGATCATTAAACAATAGTATGATTTATTAAGCGTCGGCTGACCTATCAAAGATAATGGATCCTTAATTTTTGATGCATCGGTACAACAAACACAGGTGCTATATGTAGCTAGCCACTACTTATCCATTGTTCCATTGGATGGTAGGTCCCCTAAATGTCACTGTCTTTGATATTTATGTCAAGAAAGGTTTTTTTCTTTCCTTTTTCAAACCTTGAAATTTCGGGTTTGAATATTATGTATACAAAGATATGAGCGTTCATTTGGTTGAAAGTCTTTACACAAATACTATTTTCCTTGTATTCACCCAGATTCATAAAAGAACTTTGTTCGATTCACACAAACAGAAAAAAAAAACACTACTAACATGGGTTTCAAAGATCAAACCATGTAAAATCTCAAAAATGTTTCGTTTGTTCTACAATCTTCTCCTTTTCAATCTCCGTGAACAAAAACTTTCACCCCAAAAATTGTTATTTCGGATCAAGCTTACGCCAAAACCCAAGAACATCATCTAAGACCTAAAGTTCTTCCTCTAATCTTAAACCTAACCCAAGATTTACATGAATTTCCAAACTTATCTCCAAAACCTAAATGCTACCCAAACCGAAAAGAAACTCTTCATCTTCTTTGACTAACTTGGACCACCACCAGCTAAACTTCGACCACTGTGACCTTTCAACGATGGACCAACCCTTGGCTCTCCTTCGAAACCTGAATACAAATAAAGCCATATAAAAAACCAAAAGATGAGGTCTCATGATGTGATCCCAATCAACCCTAACTTTCTTCTTTATCTGATTAAATCATTGAAGTTCACCAAGGTTGATTCAAAGAGAGTTCTACCTTACTTCATCCTATACTTGCTCATTTATGCACTATATTTTATCATATGTTTGTATTTACCTCTTTGGATATGCTTGTCATATGATATCATTCATTGCATGATTTTGCATGAGTTTTATTAGTTGCATGACATTCATTGCATTTAATAAGTGTGTTGTTCATTAAGCATGCATTGCATTCAAAGAATCTAGTTCATTTAGGGAAGTAGTTCATTTATGCATATTTAGATCATTTAGTAAGTTGTTTCATTCATGCATCTAGTTCATTGAATAAAGTTGGTTCATTAATTAAAGTAGTTCATTCATCAAACTAGTTCATTTAATAAACTAAATCTTAATTGTTTCATGCATATTTTCAATTAAATTGAATAAAGTTCACCTTTAAGTCTAGGTGCATGAGAGAAGTTGAACGGTTTCAACAGATGCAAGAATATTGGTCAGAATGTCTTCTAATTCTGGATACTATAAAGATGTTTTTGGGCCCAGAAATCAATTGGACATTATTCATCTATCTCTTAGCTTTCCAACACCTTTTTAATCACCTCAATCCGATATCGGAAGCTTGAGATATGATCGATTTACTGAAGACAGTGCATGCTGGAATTTTCATTACGGGAATTTTATACAAGGATGATTTGGATGAGTTTGAGCTAAGGAAGAGTCCTTTCATCTTCTACAAAGAGACAAGCAATTGAAGGCTATCTTAATGCTTCTATTCAAAGCAATTCAAGGATTAATTCTTTTTATCTTTTCAAGGTTGTTCATATTCTTGGAGAGACAATGCATTCAATCCTTCATAATTCACCTATTCAAGTCTTACTTATCATTCTTTGAAGGCTATTCACATGCTACCAAGGAACAAGCAATGAAGGCTGATTTTATTTCATTTAATCATCAAATTAAGTGATAAAATCAGGAAGGAATTTGAAGAGACAAGCTGATTTGGACATGTAGGATGTCCACATTCATCCTATGACTTCATTTAACCTCTTCTTTTCCATTTGCAAGCAAAACAAGGTAGCCCAAGAGTCATCCCTCCTTCTTGGACGAAATTAAGGCCATATTCAGCTTCAAATTATCTAGATTCATTCCAAAATGATCTAAAATATTACTTTTGAACATAAGAAGACATAACATTCAAGTGCATTTTATTGCTAAATTGATGAGAATGTTATCATCTTTTGAGTCTTTTCATATGCTTCTTAGAAATACTATAAATAGGCACCTTTGGGATCATTTGTAGACACACAATTTGATTTATGAAAATACTTTGAAAGATTGCTTTCATTTTAGTTCTTGGATTAGAACTCTATCGGTTTCTTGTCGGTCTTGAAGCCTTTATCCATTTCATCTTGTTATAGCGTTGGTTCCTAGCTCTACTATAGCTAGTGGGTCACGTTCCACCCTCTATCTCTTTGATTCCATCTTTATTATATTGTTAGTTCCTAACTCATATATAGTTAGAGGGTCACAATCCATCCTTTGAATTACTATCATTCTCCACGCCAACCATAAACATCCTTCACCAGTTTCGTTACATCCATTCAACCATTATCACCACCACATTTCTTTCATTTACAATACACTTCAACTTCATTCTATCATTCTCTTTTTCGTACACATATTTATATATACATATTTCTCTTCTTATATCATTGTTTGTACATTTTCAGTCTTCAATCAAAGCACTACGAAGTTCTTACTAGAATCACGATCGGGCAATAATACATATGACTCGAATCTCATAATCGAGATCATATCATTTGGCATCAGAGCTAGTCGATTCTATAAGCGTATTGTTTCATTTTCTCTCTTTCGGGTTAGTAAAAAAAGAGAAAAAATTAAAGAGGACGATAGCAATTCTTTTCCTCTTTGAAAAATAATTAAGTAGGTTTCATATTTGTTTCATCATTTCTTTCATTATCTTTACAATTTTATTACTTATTATCATCTTCGTTCTTTCTTGTAGCCATTTCTTTCTTTACTCACATTATTCTCCATCCAAGCCACAATTGTTTCAGCCGAAGCCTAAGAGACACCTTGTAAACCTCGAGGGAGTTCCACAAGAACTTTAAAGGAAAGCAATAACGGTAAAAGGAAAGAGTGACATCATTGGTAAAAGTCATCCCGAGTGAAACATGAGTAGCGTGATATTTATTTTTTTTCTTTGGAGTGTATTGGTGAGGTTTTGTGTTGGTGAGGTATATTTTTCATTTTTTATTACTAATAATGTCTCGTACTTCTAGAGACAATTCTCATATTTTAGGAGGTGACGACCAAAATGATGGTGGTGCACCAAACTTGCAAATGCAAGCCATAACACGAGAGATAAGGAGTTTGTTTCAAAAGCATATAGACCCAATCTCAAAGAAATTATATCGAATGTTCGAACGACCTTCTTGTTCACAAATGCGTCCATTGAAGATCAAAACACAACTAAAAAGGAGAGACATATCAAACACATTACCAATTCTAATGATGATCGAACATCGTCCATGCTTTAATCATGTTTCAAAGGATGATCCAATGAAGTTTTCTATCACCAAGGAACCAGTGTCCAATAATATCATCAAGCATCCTCCATGGTTAGATTTTTCCATTTCTTTTGTTATTGAATTATTTACTTCTATCTTTCATTTACTTTTCAGAGGGATGATTCAAAAACAAGGAATTGATGTATTGAGTTGCGAGGATAAGTTTATTTGCAATCTTGAGATGAAATTGCCACTCTCCATTTTGCAAATAGATGATTTGAAGAAAAAGCTATCCACATACTCAAGAGCCATCATATGGAAGGGCACAAAGATTAAAGGAGATGGTGTAACCTACCTACTTGAAGGAGTTCAAAGGTCAAGACTTTCCATCCACCCTCATGATGATTCAAAGGAACACAAAGAATGAGTGCAAATAACATATACCTATTCGGATAAACAACATGGAAATGAAGTGCACAAGAAAGGAAAACTTAATTCCAAAGAATGGTGTTTGTGCAAAACAATAATGAAGAAGTTCCTAGCTAAAAGGAAGTCAAGATTGTTTCCTTTTGTAGTAAGCGTCGATTTGGGGACAAATTGCATTAAAGAGGAAGGGAATGATGTGATCCCAATTAGCCCTAACTTTCTTCTTGATCTGATTAAATCATTGAAGTTCACCAAGGCTGATTCAAAGGGAGTTCTACCTTACTTCATCCTATATCTGCTCATTTATGCACTATATTTTATCATATGTTTGTATTTACCTCTTAGGATATGCTTATCATATGATATCATTCATTGCATGAGTTTTATTAGTTTCATGACATTCATTTCATTTAATAAGTGTGTTGTTCATTAAGCATGCATTGCATTCAAAGCATCTAGTTCATTTAGGGAAGTAGTTCATTTATGCATATTTAGATCATTTAGTAAGCTGCTTCATTCATGCATCTAGTTCATTGAATAAAGTTGGTTCATTAATTAAAGTAGTTCATTCATCAAACTAGTTCATTTAATAAACTAACTCTTAATTGTTTCATGCATATTTTCAATTAAAGATTGAATAAAGTTCACCTTTGTGTCTAGGTGCATGAGAGAAGTTGAATGGTTTTAACAGATGCAAGAATATCAGTCAGAATGTCTTCTAATTCTGGATGCGATACAGATGTTTTTGTGCCCAGAAATCAATTGGAAATTATTCATATATCCCTTAGCTTTCTAACACCTTTTTAATCACCTCAATCCGATATCGGGAGCTTGAGATATGATCGATTTACTGAAGATAGTGCAGGCTGGAATTTTCATTACGGGAATTTTATACAAGGATGATTTGGATGAGTTTGAGCTAAGGAAGAGTCCATCTTCTACAAAGAGACAAGCAATTGAAGGCTATCTTAATGCTTCTATTCAAAGCAATTCAAGGATTAATTCTTTTCATCTTTTCAAGGCTGTTTATATTCTTGGAGAGACAATGCATTCAATCCTTCATAATTCACCTATTGAAATCTTACTTATCATTCTTTGAAGGCTATTCACATGCTACCAAGGAACAAGTAATGAAGGTTGATTTTATTTCATTTAATCATCAAATTAAGTGATAAAATCAGCAAGGAATTTGAAGAGACAAGCTGATTTGGACATGTAGAATGTCCACATTCATCCTATGACTTCATTTAACCTCTTCTTTTCCATTTGCAAGCAAAACAAGGTAGCCCAAGAGTCATCCCTCCTTCTTGGACGAAATTAAGGCCATATTCAACTTCAAATTATCTAGATTCATCCCAAAATGATCTAGAATATTACTTTGAACATAAGAAGACATAGCATTCAAGTGCATTTTATTGTTAAATTGATGAGAATGTTATCATCTTTTGAGTCTTTTCATATGCTTCTTAGAAATACTATAAATAGGCACATTTGGGATCATTTGTAGACACACAATTTAATTTATGAAAATACTTTGAAAGATTGATTTCATTTTAGTTCTTGGATTAGAACTCTATCGGTTTCTTGTCGGTCTTGAAGCCTTTATCCATTTCATCTTGTTATAGCGTTGGTTCCTAGCTCTACTATAGCTAGTGGGTCACGTTCCACCCTCTATCTCTTCGATTCCATCTTTATTATATTGTTAGTTCCTAACTCATATATAGTTAGAGGGTCACAATCCATCCTTTGAATTACTATCATTCTCCACGCCAACCACAAACATCCTTCACCATTTTCGTTACATCCATCCAACCACTATCACCACCACACTTCTTTCATTTATAATACACTTCAACTTCATTCTATCATTATCTTTTTCGTACACATATTTATATATACATATTTCACTTCTTATAACATTGTTTGTACATTTTCAGGCTTCAATCAAAGCACTACGAAGTTCTTACTAGAATCACGATCGGGCAATAATACATATGACTCGAATCTCATAATCGAGATCATATCATCTCACCTTCGACTGAAGCCTAGACCAAACTTAAAAATTCTAGCGAATTTGACAGTGATAAACAACGGTTCCAATGATGACGAACGATGATGAATAGAGAGAACGATATAAATCCCTTCTTTCACTCGTCTTTTTCCTCCTACTTTTATACGTAGTTAGTCCATATTTTCTTTTGGATTAACTTTAGGTAAATACAAAGTAATAAAATATTTCAATCTTTTCATATTAAATATTCTTACTTTTGATATCTTTAATGTTCAAATTTCAATCTTTATTAAATATATTTCAATCTTATCATATTAAATATTCTTACTTTTGATATCTTTACTGTTCGAATTTTGATCTTTAAAAAATAAAAATAATTCCTTTATTAAGGAACTATTTGATACTTAAGTTAGTTAAAAACCCATTATCGATTACAAAATGATTAGTTAGATCTAGAATCATACCCATTTTTCTTTACATTTTCATTTAAGGTGCGTTTGGTTCACGTAATATAATATTACCAATGGGAATAGGATTACCGGAATGTAACATTACCTAACACATTACTGGGAATGTTACATTACTGTGTTTGGTTTGTTTGGCAGTAATGTAAGATTACAATATTTGGTTGAAGGAATAAAATATTACTGGCATGTGTATTTTACCAAATTGACATTGTTCTATATTTTTGTACAAGTGAAATTCTAATTATTAAATAAAAATTATTTATATAAAAATTATTTATATAAAAATTCTTCTATAATATATTTAAATAAAAATTATTTATATAAAATTCATCGATAATATATTATTTTATTATTAAAATATATCATGTATTATTTTAATTTTAATTAATATTAAATTTTACATAATTTATCTAAAAATATATTAAAATTTTACTTCAACATTTAATTAAATGTTCAATATTAGGGATTTTTAACTTTCACTACTTCAACATTTAATTAAATTTTACATAATTTATCTCAAAATATAATATTTAAATTTATAAAAAGTAATTAACATATTCGAAAACTAGCACATTACTTGCAAGGCATATACTACATAACAAAAAGAAGTATAACATTAATCATCAAAAGTTTGTAAAATGTTCAGACTTACAAAAGATAATAGTCATGACATTCTAAACTTAATCATATATGTTGGCTATATTATATACACAAAAAATTATCCAAGTCAAAAGATTGACTTAGTTTCAAGTTAAAGGATACAAGAAATATAACCTCATGGCTGTAAACAGAAACCTAAAACATCATTTGTTTACTCTTTTTTTATAATAATTATTTGTTTACTCTTAAAACATCTTTATTGGGGGTGATGGCGGCATCATTTTCCATAAAACAGCTTAGCATCATTAAACTATAGTGACGCTTGGAACCTTTGCCACTACCTTTGATTCTGGCATTCAAACATTTTTGTCCAACTGAGCTCGAGAATTTCTCCTAGCACTTTCCAACACGGTTTTATCAACAGTAATGAAGTAAGCTGCGATTGATGTTGTTAACGAACAAAGATAGCCATATTATTACTCGAGGAAGGTGGTGTGCCATTTCAATTTCTCTCCTATTTCTATGTCCTTAATGGATATTCATATCAATATGATGCCATGCAGATATCATGGAATCATCAATTCAAGTTACAAGATCCCTTTTTGCTTTGGTTTGCTTAAAAGGGAAAGCCAATCATAAGTCGTGCATGTTATAACATGCTATGACTAATCTCTTGAACAACTGATACCATAATCAGTACATGGATATTATTTTTTAAGGAACAATTGGATGAATAAAATACATCACAATCAGAGATGGAAAGATATGTCTCGGACTAGAGGGAAGTTATGATAACAAACCTGATTAATGTATGACTCCATTTGATGCAATAATTCATAGCCCTATAAATGACCAAAGTTAGTCGTGAGCAATGCATTCAGTAAGTGATTTAAATTTGAAACAATGAGAAAGAAATAGAGAAGTCATGCCATACGATAACATGTTTGAAGTATCGAAGATGCGCATCCATAGTCCCACTCACAGCTTCCATAAACTCAAATCGCTTTTTGGCTTCAACATTTGAAAGAGCAGTTACTTGTAATTGTAAACCACAGTAGTGTAATTACCATCTTGAACCAATTTTGAACTATCAAAGCTACATCAATTTAGAAATCATCTGTTAGCAAGTCACTCACTAGATTAAAACGAGCCTGCTCAAATGTTGACCTTGCATTATGAAGTTCCTAGAATAACGCCAACCATGTCAGACTAAAATATCCATCAACATTATATCTACGCAAGTAAGAATGTCAGATACATGAGATTATAAACCATTAAAGCAAGCCATTTTACAAGATACCTCTTCCAAAACATTGGCAATATTACTCTTTGTACTTTTTCTCACTGAAAGAACTTTTTCACGAGCCTGCAAGATTACACAAAGCAATACAATGTAACAATTAATTCGATTTTAGGCCAACTCCAAATTATATTATCACATTCAATCAATGAAAATAAGGTAATCTAACAAACTACATAAGCAAAATAAATTTAAATTCTAAAGCACCTGGTCGTAAATGAGACTAGCCTTGTCAAAGTGTTTACGTGCTTCCTGCACTCAGATAAGATATTTTAAAACAAAAAGCTTGCAAATAAAAAATACATGATCTAGAATAATACACAGATTATAAGAAGTTGGATGAATCTATAGCAAAGTGATAAATAAATAACCTATGTTTCTCTTGATAAGACTGTTTTTACATAACAAAAGTTAATAAGGCAGCCCAACTTTTAGCTAGTTCCAAATCCTCACAACTTTATAGGGTAACTTAAATCTCAATTGAGAGAAATGAGATTACCTTGACCTCAAGTAAATCAATATTGACAAACTACAATAATTTGACATTTAGTTCGGTTTCAACCTAGAGAGAAAAGAAAGCATTCCACAAATATTATTGTATGTTAATATGATTGGACAGTGAACTATATAGTGTCAAAGTTCAATATAGCAGTAAAATTTATATTCTCACAATTTTGAAAAGAAAGGATAGTTTTATAGAACATAGATGGTGTTAAAAATCCATGAAGAAAACAACCAACAAAAGGTTAGTTACTACTGACATTTCTAAATGATTATCATTTCCTTTCACCAGATATTCACAACAACAGTTGGAGAATGCCAAAGAGTGAGTTTATCCAAAACCAGTTATCTTAGGTCCTTACTCCTCAGTAATAAATTTGAATTCATGTTAAAATGATAGTTCAGAGAATTACCTTGGACCGAAGAACTTCCTTGTATGTCCCAATTTCTCTCAATATTATGGTAAACTTGGTCATAACCGGCCCTAAAGAAGCGAAAAAAGGTTCAATTACAGATATGATTCCAAACCAAAATATAATCTAAATGTGATGTTAGAACCGAAGAACATAATGAAAAACCTTCTGCGGATCGAACATAATGAAAAAGCTTCTGCGGATCGAACAAAAATAAACCCATTAACAACTGCATTTGACGGAAAAACAAATTCGTTTCAAGAAAAAACATTCTTATGTGATTGATTCTAGACATTCGAATGAATATCAGGTTAAATTATATTTTAAAAAAATGAGAAGAGAAATTTTCTTGTGATTTCTCAGCTGCAAAAAAAAAGGAAATGAAAGAATAAAAATTCCAACCTTGAGAGAATTACTGGGCTCTAAGCTTCTTCTCGTCATCAGCAGGGGAAGGAATTCTTTTCTTCAGAAGGGCTCCAAGAAAATACCTAATACGCCAGAAGCATAAATCAACGCCAAATTGAAGAAGAAGAAGAAGATTTTGTTTCAACAGAACCAAGCGGGGAGAAGGATATTTTAGGAAGCATGGGACGGGAATAAGCAAATACCTAAGGGAGATGGGGGACTAACATTCCTGGTGAAACAGGAAAAAACAAACACTGTTGGTATTAATTTTTTTACTGGTACTTGGGAATGTGGAGAAACTAAACGTGGGTATCTTTAACCCGGAAAAAAACACGTGAACCAAACGGGGCCTTAGGGGTTGTCTCAAAAAAGGCAGACTAAGATACGGCTAAAAAATAGCGTGACCGAAAACTTAATAAGATAATTAATGAATTCGGTAAAGCGCTACTTATTATGTTGACAGACTCATAATGTTGTATGTAGAAAACATGAAAAACTATTAAAAAATTTGGTAACCATTAAACTTTAGTCATCGGTAGGTATCGATATATATATATATAAGTGTCCATACTTATTTCACTGTGGAAAACATTAATTTATGATTATCTTTTGAGCGAGTTTTAAGATATTAATTTAGTAATTATACACGTCTAATGATTTATTTTTATGTTACGATATATATTATTTTTAAAATATCTACCGATTTTTTTGAATGTTGCTAATAATGTAAACGGTAAAAAAAATAGACGCTACCTATTACATTAAACTACCTACTAGATATGTTGAAAGTATCGATTTCATTTAAATAAATATCGACACTTTTGGAATTTAAAAGAAAAGCAGTAATATCGCCTATAAAGTATCGATAATTTATAAATATGTATTGATATATAACAATATAACAGGTAAAAATATGACAAAACCAGTTTCATTATGACAAAACCGGTAAAGAGCTACCGGATATGTTGAAAGTATCGATATTTTTTGTCCATGCATCGATACTTTTTGTCCAGTATGCTTCCCAAACAAGATGCACGTATGAAGTATCGATACCAATGACACATGTATCGATACATGACAATATAACATGTTAAAAATTGATAAAACCAGTTTCAATATAACAAAAACGGTTAATAGTTACCGATTTTAAAAAAACGAAACATCTCAAAAATATCGATACCGTACATAAAAGTATCGATCTGGTTTAAAAATTGTATCGGTTCTAAAATAACATAACATGTCATCATCTTTCTTTCTTTTTGACAAAATTGGTTTTCATAATTGCGCATATAAAGTATCGATACAAGTATAAAAAGTATCGATTCTTAAAATTTCGAAACCGATTACTTTAAAGTAATAGGTATATATACAATATAACTGGTTAAAAATTGATAAAACTGGTTTTCAGTATGACAAATCCAGTAATTAACCTATTTTGTTATCGTCGAATTTCTAAAGTTCCATCAAGTTAAAAAGGCGCTGCCTATTACGTTATATAAGAGCTACCTAATATGTTATTGTATTTGATAATGTTTCCAATAATTAACTGGTTTCGTTATCGTCTATATATTTTTGGCTCATTTTACATTGATAATAACATAACCGGTTATTACCGTTTTTATCAACTCAAATAATATTTTCGATTAAATCATATAATATTTATGGTATAAATTTATCCAATCACTTATTTAACCAATTACGTCTTTTTTTAGCCGTCTCACATCAGAACCTCCTTCCATTTACTCACCAATTTTATGTGATTGATTGCATGAATTGTGACGTGGCGGCCGATGAGTGCACGAATGAGGGACACATGTCGATACCCACGTGACCGACGATGAAGCTTCTGGAAGACATCTTTTGATCAATGAATAAGATCCACTTGTGTTTGTTCTCACGGACTGCTGACTTGGCAGCAATTAATGTCACCTAAAATGTTGAATCACTCATTAATGCTTCCTCTATATACGTGCGGGTTACCCAGAAGATCACAAGGTCCAAGCGACGGCTGAAGACTTAGTTTTCTAGGAATATTTGTGTAAGCTTTTATGTTAGGCTTGGGATTATAACGAGCTTTAAGGTTTAATTTTTGTAAATAGGTTTTGTAATATAAGTGGACTCTCTGTATTTATTTTGGATTTAAAAATGAATAAAGAATTTTATTTAATATTGGACTTTATTATATGAATGGATGTGGACTATATATTTATATAAATAGTTTAGGCTTTTTTATTAAATTTGGGGCTTAGTTATATATATATATATATATATATATATATATATATGGTTTTATAATATGTAAATACTATAGTTTATATAATATGCTTAACTAATATAAAGTATCTAATAATTAAATAATAACATCATCACCCGTAAAAATAGGTGATGACAAGACAAAAAACACAAAATAAAAATCTACGAATATATACACTCTTTAGAAGTGATGAATTATTATACTCAAATAAATGCCATTGGAGCTTCCTATAGATGTTGATGTCCCGACTTAAATCCAAAATCTAATAATTTGGGCACATAAAGAAATTCTAAATGTTGACTTTTACAAAATCTAATGATACACATTTACTTTATAATATTTCATAAAGTCCATAAACAGAAGTATACAACCACAGTATAAACACAAGACAATTAGTGTATTTATCATATTTTATAAATTAAGTATTCATTGCTCGGCACACAAGAAGAAACGATAATAGAGAAAATGCCTTAAATAAATTAATGGCGCAAGATATGACGGGTGCGATCATATCAGCATTAATGAATTGGATCTCATCAGAAGTTTGTAGTTAAGCGTGTTTGGGCGAGAGTAGTACTAGGATGGGAGATCTCCTAGGAAGTCTTCGTGATGCATCTCTCATTTTTGGACTATTCTCTTTTTGTTTCATACTAAACGCACACATACATATTCTGCCTAGTATAAGTTAGGTACTTGGTGAGAAAGGTTCGGGTCGTATAATCCGAATTTTGAAAGTCTCTTAAGGACGGATCGGAAGAAAGTGATAACAGAGAGAATGACTTAAATAAATTAAGGGAGCAAGACATGACGAGTGGCATCATCACGACACAACAGAATTGGTCTATAGCGGCGTTTTTGGTCCTATAATGACGTTTAAAAATGCCGCTAAAAATGCTGCCAGCGCAAAAAAAGCGCCACTAATATAAACACTGCAACTATTAGCGGCGTTTTCTAATAATAAAAGCCACTAAAATTCAGATTATGTAGCGGCTTTTGTATATTAAAACGCCGCTAATGGTCAGGTTATATAGCAGCGTTTTAGTATACAAATGTCGTAATAGGTTCGCAATATAGCAACATTTTTGGGAACAAACGACGCAATATGCTTGATACATATAGGCATTTTCCCACAACCGGTTCGATATTTAGCGACAGTTTTAGTCACAATCGCCGCAACAGAGTTGATACTTAGCGTGTTTCGAGCACAAACGACGCAATAGGTTGGCAATTTAGTGGCGTTTTTCCTAAAAACACCGCCAAATATGCACTATGTGTAACACCCCCAACCCGTATTCGACCCGAATACGAGTCTGAGGTGTCACATTGACTTTTCAAAACATTTACTTGTATAAAATAGTGAGTAATTTAAAACTTTTATAACATATAACTTATTCAAAACGTTTACAAAACTATTCAGAGCTTATACAATATATTCTTTTGAATACATTCCAACTAGAGCTTTATATATTAAAATGCATATTATTCACATCTCTTCTGATCTAACCTTCAGTAAGGAGAACTGACCTGTCTTGTTCCACTTTGCTCTTTACTCTTCTTGAAACCTACGTGTAAATCACTTACACGCTAAGTCTATGACTTAATGAGGCAATAAACATATAATGTAAACTATAACTTGTAATCATGCATGAACAATTACTGCTATCACATCATACCAAAACAAATATCCATTCATATATCAAATCCACACATGCATATAATTATCTTCTTTCCTATCATTATCATATTATTACCATTCATATTTCTATTCTCTTGTTTATATGATCTATTATGCTCATATTATATATCTTATAACATATACAATAATCACTAACACACATATATCATATCATATCATATCATATCATATCATATCATATCATATCATATCATATCATATCATATCATATCATATCATATCATATCATATCATATCATATCATATCATATCATATCATATCATATCATATCATATCATATCATATCATATCATATCATATCATATCATATCATATCATATCATATCATATCACAAAACACATATATATATCACATACATTGTATTCAATGTTATCTCTTATTAGCCCATGTACAACTGTGAGAACTGTAGATATGTGAGTCTATTGAGGTTGTGCACTATACTGTCACCACTGCTCGTAATGGGTCCCGCTAAGGGCTATGAAATTTTTGTCCCGAAAGATCACTGTATGTCCCGAAGGATCGCATAGACCCTCGACTCTTGGCATGCCAACTATACCTCTAGCTCTCATGTCACATCACATGGCTATTAATATTTATGTTAGCATACATTCACATATACACATAGTCACATAGTTCTTTCACATAGCTCATTGTCATATAAATCACATATCACATATACATATAAACACATGGTTCACTTACGCGTAGAACATTTTCATATGATTCACATATCACAGAGCTTATCACATATAATTGTATTTTTTTTCATATAATCACATAGTCATATAATATTTCATATGACATATACTTTCTCTTTCATATATCTCATGTCACGTATCATATCTTGTGATCATGTAATCATGTTACTTATAATCACATAACTTCTACTCATAGGGTTCAACATCATTAAGATTAGTTCACTTTCCATATTATCATACATTTATATAATCTTATATGTCCTATCATTAACCTATAAACTTACTCATATACTCATATATACTCTTTAATATAATTTGTATAGTAATGCTCTATAATTGTATCATATATTGAGTTTACCTAAGTCTTCCTTTCTAAAGTTTATTTTACAAGTTCAAATAGTCTCATTCTATCCTATACATAGTGTCTACTTATCTTATCTCACTTCCCCTTTCACTCATATAAATCATCTATATACTAGTTTTATCTATTTATTTAGTTCAATTTCCATGACTTCTATAATACTCTTTCATAAAGTTTTGTAATTCTTCACTTTATAACTCATAACCCGTAGTTTCCTTTAAGTATATAAATCTTCCCTATATAACTTATGTATCATTACTTATGTTTATGCCCTCAAATTTATACTATCCTCATAGAGTCTCTTAACCTTTCTCGTGTAATCACTTATACCATATAATATGACTTATACTTGGTTATCTTATGTTCACACACACATATATATATATATATCAATGATTCATTAACTTATAGTTTATGTCACATGTTCATTTCGTTCTTTATGTCTTTATCATATAACTTATTTTTTGTTTTCCATTATTATATAATAATGTTTTACACAAATTATATAGCATATACAAAGCATATCAATATCTTTAGTCATGCATACATACAATTAATGTAACACATATAATCACATATAGCACATATAATCATAACAAAAACATAATCATGTTCATGACTTCATGCATGTTACTCTAGGAAATATACTCATCGCAAGTCTTATTTCCATTAAACACTACAGGTCACTAGTATGCACTAAACTTAGCCTCACTACGTTCCAATCCACTTTTATGATTTTCTCTCTTTCGATCGAATCTTAACTTGATAATCGTTTCGGAACTTGTTCGTGCTCGATATCTATATAATCATACATTGATACATATAAGTATCCAATTGATATTCTAATCTATCATTTCTTAGACCAAAAGAAAGGTATAATTCTATTTTCCCCTTGAAGTGCATCGATGCATTCTACAGTGTATCGATGCATTCTTTAACATGTGCATCGATGCACTACTCATGCATCTATACACAAATCACCTTCGATGTTTTCATTTTAAGGGGGTGCATCGATGCACTAATTGCATTCGATGTTCATTTATTTGATAGTGCGTCGATACACATTGAAGATGCATCGATGCACACAACCCAGAAATTCCATTTTGAGCCCGAAAATTCTTACTTTGTCCTCAAATTCTACTTATTAACCCCTCCTTATACCATAAAACTTATCTATACATATGTAAACCTTTTTATAACATTATAACACTTCACTATCCCTCATAATTCACCATAATTCTTGAATCAAAGAATTTCATCAAATTTTTCCATGTGTTCTTAATTCAATTATATCACCTCTAACTTCTTAATTAACTCTTTGACAAGTCAAATTTAACCCTCAACTTCAATTACTAACTCTTTTCCAAGATTTCAATTTGAAACCTCTTATTTTCAATATCTCATAACTTGATAATCTTTGAGTTTTAATCCATCTTAAGCTTTCCTTAATCTTTTCCATCACTCTAAGAATCAAAACCAACTTTAAAACAAAAGAATTAATCAACTTGGAACCAACTTACCTTTGCCATGGAGCTTACGAGAAGAGAAGAAGAAGGAGAAAGTTGAATCAAAGTCTCGAGACTTTTCTATTTTCTTTCCTCCATTTCCACGTGCCATCTCCTATATAAAGGAGAAATAAAAATCTTTCTTATGAAATTACCATTATACCCTTCAAAATTTTCACAATTATCATTTAATATAACACTGAAATTTTTCTATTTAAGTCTTTGAACTTTTAACTTGTTTCAAAATTGAGCACAAGGTTTCCAAAAATTCTATTTTAGTCACTAACCCCAATTTTGGGATATTACACTATATTAGTGACATTTTCCCCTAAAACGCCTCTAATCAAAATTGATTTTCAACGTATCTTCTTCCTATTTTGTATTACTCAAATTTAACATGTAACAATATCCAATAACCATCTTAAATTTAATTACGATTCGAATTAAGTAATAATACATAAAAACATAAATAAATCAAAGTTTACAAACATCCAAGTTAAATATAATGTAGTTCAACATTTTTCAATAACATAAACAAAGCATTAACCTAAGAAAACACCTAGAGTGATGAATTCTTCGTTTGATTCTGCTGTATCATCTGCTTCAATTTGATTTTAAAAGTTCATATTTTTCTGAAATGGTGCTTCTCTCTGCTTCTCTGCTCCATAGAAGAGCCATCTTTTTTTTTGTATATGTCATTTCGAAGATCTTTATTTGTCGAATTCTATTGTCGGACGTGATTTCCTACAATGTAGAATATAAATTAATACTTACAAAAAAGTAATAAATAATAGAAAAAATGTTAATTACTATATGCTACCAACTTAAAATGACTATATGAATAATCATAATTAAAAAAGAATACATGTTCATGAGCTACACGAGCAAAGCTCTTCGATCCAGCATTTTGAGTAAACTTTTTTTGTCAATATATAATCATACAATATTTTATTTTCTCAACCCAACAAGCAAAATGCTAGTATACTACTAATATAATCAGCTTAATAACATAAATTCATGTTTGAAAGTAATCAGAAAACATAAAATTACTAAACTGAAGATAAGCATAGATAGAGCATCAAATGGGAGCAAAAGGATTATTTTGACCAAAATTTTTGCAAATGAAGAACTGTTCTTATAAGAAGCAAAACTTCTATAAATTAAGCATTTGAGGAATACCCAAGTCACTAAGTGTCAAAGCAACTGTATAAAAGTTAGGGACTCACTCCTCATTCCCTGGTAAAATGGATGTCAAAATTGCAATGTTAATATTGAGATATGACAGAATAGACTGCATCAAAATTTGGTTTTAAACTTAAAAACTCAAGTAAGGTCTACTTATATCATATGTATCTACAAGAGCAAGAAAGTTGCGGCGATGAATTTTTAATGCTCCACTGATGTTCTAAAGAGGACACAAATAATACTAATTCTCTAATGAAACAACATTGCATGGAAAACCAGTGAAATCAACTGCATAAAAACCATATATGAATATGAAAGATCAAACGGTGTTGAACTCTAAAGCTGAAAACAATAGTAGCTAAAAGGGCAAACATAGTGCAGCAAACAGTGGTCCAAACACAGTAGATCAAAGTCACATTACTTGTTTGTGACGGTGCCAACAAACACGAGGATGTACATATTCATCTTCGCCCAATATCTGAACAACAATAACTATATTCCCTGTATTATGTGGCTTATCATCCTCATCTGGACCTTCAGATATCTTCCAAACAAACACCCTTCCCTCTAGACTCACACAGCAGAAAAACGTATTAACATGAAGCAAAAAACGAAAACAAAAAAAAGGTGAAATTACCAATTAAAGAAAAATAAATACCTAGCCAAAAGATGAACATCCTCAACAAAGAAAACCATGTCTGTGATCCTCTGAGATAAAAGAAAAATATCATGTGGACAAATAAACAATCATAACCATCCAAAAGCAGTACTTATGCATCCAAAGCTTGCCATTCCAGAACTCAAAATGCACATTTATTCTATGAACTATTCTATTACCATGAAGCTCTGAACTATTCTATTACAACACTCATTTCAATCCAATATAGAACTACAAACTATAAAAATGAAGAGTTAATAAAGTTAAAGAGATAAACATGCGTGTGCCCACGAAACAAAGACCTCAATGTAGCGTTTAAATTAAGAATCCTAATACTGCCTCCTTTCAAACCATAACAAATATAAGACTTATTAACAACAATCTGCATTCCCAACACCAGCTGAGGATCAGACCCAAACTTCATAATCGAAGTGACCTCAAGCTGAGGTTGAACCTCGCCGGACAGCCTCATATCAACATCGTAGGCCACATGAGCACTCGTTAACCGCCTTCCTCTAGGAAATTTACAACTCTGCATCCTCGAAGACCTCACATTGGGACTCTCGGATTCCAAAATCTGAGCGTAGGGTGGTGACTACAGATTAGGGGGTTGCTTCTGAGGTGGAAAACCAGGGCTTTGAGGGGATGAGTCGACCAGGGAGAGAATTTGGTTGCTGGCATTGTAAGGGCTGAGAGGAGGGGAAGGGAAAGAAAGGGATTTTGCATCTTGGTAATTCGAACGCGTTGGGGACGAAGGGGGCATGTAGAATTGGTGATACTGTGGGTGAAAGAAATGAGAAGATGTGGAATATGATGACGGGGAAGAATTTTGCGGTTGAGGGTTTGAATTCGATGGGTTCGAAACTGTGGGTTTGAAAAAGCTCTGCATATCAAATGGGATGGCTTGATTTGGGTTCCTGTCGAAGCCATCACACATGGAAGATAAAAAAACATAATATGTCAAAGGATCTTTGGAGAGGCTATATGATTTTTTTACAAGAAAATAAGATCTGGGTATTTGTTTCCTGTGGCATAAATGAAGGACCAAAGAATTTCTTTTGAAATAAACAGCAGCCGAAAACTTGGAGGAAAAAATGAAAAAATATAAAAATGAAAAAATATAAAAATGAAAAAGGGAGTTGGACTTAGAAAATGTAAACTTGATGTGTTTGTAAACACAAACACCACCACCAAAGTATGAGTCTTTAGCGGTGTTTTTAAATACAAACGCCATTAAAGTATTAGTCTATAGCGGCGTTTGTATAAAAACGTCATTAAAGTACGAGTCTATAGCAGCGTTTGTATAAAAATGTCGTTAAAGTACGAGTCTATAGCGGCGTTTGTTCAAAAAACGCCGCTATAAACCCAATTTATTGTAGTGCGGGATCATGATGGGCGTGGAGGTGAAGGTCACGACATCATCGAACGGCTCCAATTACCAACAACATATTTGTTGGATCTTTGGAAATGGCGGGGAGCAGAAAATGTAAGGGAAAATAAAAGTGAGATTGGGCTGAAGGGTTAAGGAGATAAACTTTTAAAATTTGCAGCGTTTTTTAAAAACGCCATAAACATACCAAACTATTACGGCGTTTGTTGAAAAAAAGCCATTATAGATGAACCCTATTACGATGTTTATATAAAAACGTCGCTAAAGTACCACTCTATTGCGGTGTTTGTTGAAAAACGCCATTATAGATTAACCCTATTACAACTTTTGTATGAAAATGTCGCTAAAGTACTACTCTGTTGCGGTGGTTGTTGAAAAAAGCCACTATAGATGACCCTATTGCGACTTTTGTATAAAAACGCCGCTAAAATACTTCTCTATTACGGCGTTTGTTGAAAAAACGTCACTAAAGTTACCATTTGATGGTGTTTGGAATGTAAACGTCGTTATATGTTTAAAGTTAGTGGTGTTTACTCTCAAAACGCTATTAAAAACGCCGTTGTAGAACTTTTTTGCGGTAGTGAATATACTTACATCATTGAAAATCACGTTTTAGTATCATTTTATATATATTTACCTATAATGTTATCATATTGCAATTTTAATCTCTAACATATCAAAATTACTGGCCCCTCGAGCATATAATAATGGCTTAAATGCATATTTCCCCCATAACTATACCTTTTTTTTATCGAGTTGCCCCTTAAAGTAATTTCTGTACCATTTTGTCCCCTCAACTAAAAATCGTTACCATGTTTACCGCAAATCGTTAACACCGTTAAAAACAGTATGGGTAAATTATATATTTAGTCATTAAACTATTCTCATGGTTCTGTTTTCATCACTTAATTATTTTTCTTTCAAAATAATCACTAAACTTATTTTTTTCCCATTTTACTCACCTAATTTAATTGCACGTCTGCTTCTTCTCTTTTTCTGGATTTTTTTCCTTTTGTTTAATCTAAACAAGGTTTAGATTAGTATATGGGGGTATTCAATATGTCGGTTCGGTTAACCAAGTGAACCTAACTTTCAAAATTTCATTAACCGTTTTTTTCGTTTTAATTGTTAACTGATCGAAATTTGTTCGAAAATAATTAACCGAACCGAACAAATTTCGGTTAATCGGTCGGTTAACCGAATTAACCAAAATTTTAAATATTTAATATTTAATATTTTTGGTCAGTTAATTCAATTGATTAATTCGTTTAAAACCAAATTTTAAACACTCCTAAAGCTATTAATAAATAAAATAATATATTAAATATTTAAAAAAATCGATTAATTTGGTTAATTAACCGATTTCGAGCCGATTTAACCGATAACTGAACTTTGAAAAAAAATCATTAATCGTTAACCGAACGAACGTAAAATTAACCGACCAATTAACAAAAAAATTTTGGTTTGGTCGATTTAATCGGTTAACTAAAATATTGGAGAAATGTGGGATTTTTATGGTGGAGAAAGGAGATATAGTGATAGAATGATGAAAAAGGTGTGAAGAAAGGAGGGAGTTTTGTGAGGATTCAAATCTGGAAAAAAATATTAAAATGTAGGATTTGTGCGTGCTTCTACAATCACAAAATTACGTGAATGTGGTTGCTTTTTAATCCCAATTTTTAGATTCATTGTTTCCTTTTAATGGTAACATTTACTTAATGAAAACTTTTATTTATTTTTATCATTTAAAAATTTTAATAATTGAATTCAATTTAAACACATTGCAATTATTCATTTTCAAGTGTGTCTTTCATTAATTTTCAGTGTTTAAACGTGTCAAGATCTAATATTATGTTTTTCAATGAATTCTTATATATTAAAATTTTAAAAATAAACCGATCCGAATTTAATGACCAAAATGAAACAAAAACTTAAGTGCAGTGATGATTATGAAAAATAAAATAATTGGGTGACCAAACCAGAACCGTGAGAATAGTTGAGTGACTAAGTATGTAATTTGACCATGTATTTTTAACAAAGTTAATGGATTGGGGCAAATAGGGTAACAATTTTGAGTTGAGGGGAAAAACGATACGAAAAATATTTTAAGGGATAACTTGGTGAAAAAGGGTATAGTTGAGGGGAAAATATGTATTTAAGCCTGTAATAATATAGTAGTGCATATTGTCACGTGCCTAGACTGTTGCTAGTAAGCTCGTGCGGCCTTAGTCGTTTTCAAGGTCGAAAATCGGATAAGTAACCCAAACCTCCACTAAGCAAGAATGCTTATAACGTTGCAAAAACAAAGGAAATGGGAAAAATAAAGAGATGGGTGCTCAAATGGAGAAGAGAGAGTTTATAGTGAATGTTAACTTGTATTCCTCAATCTGAAGTGTGTAAATGAGGTGGGGGTGAGCCTCTTTTTATAGTTGGAGCCCCCTACAATCAACGATTAAGATTAAATTACATCAACGGTCAGAAAAGAGCCATACTCTATCTATAACTCTAAATTAAAGAATAATTAGTGGGAATTATCTCTAAGATAATTTCAAATAATTATCATGCCTTTCTCTCTCCAAGGTGGATAGGCCAGCTCTGCTGGGTCTTCTAGAAGGCCCAAAACGTGGAAAAGATAGTCTCTGGCAGCCTTGAACGAACTGGGCTCGGTCTTGGGCTGGCGGTCTGTGACATTCTCCCCCACTAGTTCTAGCGACGCCCTCGTTGCGCGACTAGAGTGAAACTGGTCTATCTTATCTCGGAATTGCCACAAGGCTTCGGAAGGTTCCCAACTTCCCTCACTCTCTGGAAGTCCCTTCCACTGAACAAGGTATTCATGCCTTGGTCGTTTTCCCACTCCATAGACGGCTCTCTCTGCATGGATAGTTTCTACTTCTCTCTCGTATGAGACCTTTACCCCGACTGGCGCTCGGTGTGACTTGCCTCGATCTAGCTCCTCCTCATCCTGATGGTATGGCTTCAACAAACTCACATGGAACACAAGATGAGCTTTGATGGTCGAAGGTAACTCTAATTTGTAGGCCATGGTGCCTACCCGCTTCAAAACTTTGAATGGCCCCTCGTATCTTTGCACAAGCCCTTTGTGATATGGGTTGCGTAAGATACCACTTAATTTGGTAAGGACTAGGTCACCAACCTCAAAGTTTACATCCCGACGCTTTCGATCTGCCCACTTCTTGGTTCGCTTCCCGGCCTTGTGCAAACAAGCTCGGGCTAGTTCATGTTGTTCTTACCACTCCTTGGCAAATTGGTATGCTGTCGGATTCGGCCCTTGGTACCCAGTCACAACCGCATTTGGTGTAAGCGGCTGCTGCCCGGTAACAATCTCAAATGGACTCTGATTGGTCACTTCACTCCTCTGCAAATTGTAGGAAAACTGGGCTACATCCAACAATTTTGGCAAGTCACGTTGTGTGGCACTCACATAGTGCCTCAAGTAGGTCTCTACGAGTGCATTCACTCTCTCGGTTTGCCCATCCGTCTGTGAATGAACACTTGTCGAAAAGTTCAAGCTTGATCCATCAACTTGAACAACTCCTTCCAAAACCTCCCAGTAAACCTTGTGTCCCGATCACTGATAATCGTCTTTGGAATACCCCAGTACTTCACCACGTACTTGAGAAAAAGATGAGCGGCCTCCTCGGCTGGACAAACTTTGGATGCTGGAATAAAGGTCTTATACTTGGAAAATCTATCCACCATGACCATGATGCTAGAAAATCCGTCGGAAACAGGCAAACCAACAATGAAATCCATGGAAAGACTTTCCCATGGTTTCTCGGGGATAGGCAGAGGCTGTAACAATCCAGCTAGTCTCCTCTGCTCTATCTTGTCTTGCTGGCACACAAGACAGGTCTTCACATAGGCCTCGACATCATTGCCCATGTGCGGCCAATAATAGTGCTCCGCTATCAAGGCCAAAGTTCGGTGGATCCCCGGATGTCCCGCCCACTTGGAATCATGGCATTCCCTCATGAGCTCCTTTCGCAATCCTTCAAATTATGGCACATAGAGGCGGTGTCCTCGAGCATACAACAAGCCTCCATCTAGCCAAAACTTTCTAGTCTTGCCCTCCTTGGCAAGCTCAATCAATGAAGGGGCTATCGGATCATGTGACAACCCCTCTTTGATGCGCTCCCGCATTTGTCCCATCGACAAACTCACAAACTCCATGTCACACCTTCGGCTTAAGGCATTGGCCATGGAATTCACTTTCCCAGGTTTGTGCTCCAAGGACAAGTCAAACTCGGCAAGGAACTCTTGCCAACGAGCCTGCTTCGGTGACAACTTCTTCTGGTTTAAGAAGTAACTGTTGGCAACATTGTCTGTAAACACCACGAACTTGGACCCAAGTAAGTAATGTCGCCATGTGCGCAAATAGTGCACAACTGAAGTCATCTCTTTCTCATGGACCGTATATCTCCTCTCGGTCTCATTGAGCTTCCGGCTTTCATAAGCAACCGGATGTCCCTCTTGCATCAGGACCCCACCAATGGAAATGTCGGATGCATCAATGAATACTTCAAAGGGCTTGGTGTGATCTGGCAACACCAAAACTGGCTTGCTTGTCATAGCAAGCTTGATTTCGTCAAAGGCACTTTGACACTTCAGGCCCCAATCCCACGCCTTGTCTTTCTTCAATAACTCGGTTAAGGGGGCTGCGATTTTTGAGTAACCTTTGACAAACCTCTAGTAATAGTTGGCCAACCCCAGGAATGATCTCAGCTCCGTCACCTTGGTTGGCACTTGCCATTCATCAATGGCTCGAACCTTGTCCCTATCCATCCAGATCTTACCACCTTCAATAATGTGGACAAGGAAAGGAACCTCCGTTTTGGCGAATGAGCACTTCTCCTCTTTGACAAAGAGCTCATTCTCTCGCAACACTAGAAACACTTGCTTCAAGTGTTCAACATGCTCCTCCAACGTCTTGTTGTAGATGACGATGTCGTCGAGGTAGACAACAACGAATCGATCCAGAAAAGGTTGCAACACCTTATTCATCAGGGTGTAGAACGTGGCTGGAGCATTCGTGAGGCCAAAGGGCATCATAAGGTATTCATACGAACCGTACCTAGTCACACAGGCTGTCTTCGGTTCATCTCCCTCGGCTATCCTGACTTGGTAATAGCCTGATCTCAAATCCAACTTGGTGAACCACCTTGCACCACCAAATTGATCGAACAAGTCCGCAATGAGAGGAATCAGGTACTTGTTCTTCACCGTGAGCTTATTTAAAGCTCGGTAATCGATGCACATCCGTAAAGAACCATCGTGCTTCTTATGAAACAACATTGGGGCACCATAGGGGGACTTGGATGGTTGGATGTACCCGGCATCGAAGAGATCCTTCAACTGTCTGTGCATCTCCTCCAACTCGGGCGGAGCCATTATGTAAGAAGCTCGAGCGGGTGGCTCCGCATTCAGCACAAGCTCAATCTTGTGATCCACCTCCCTCTTTGGAGGTAACTCGGCAGGCATCACATCTTGGAATTCTGCCAACACGTGGCTCACCACGTCAGGAACTTCCTTGGTTGTGGCTGGCTCATCACACACCAAGACAGCTAAGAATGACGATTCCTCCTTGCGCACTGCCTTCGAGAATTGAATTACGGATAGAACTTTGGCCCCTACTCCGGGCCCTCGGCTCACTGGAGCAATGCACTGTTGCTTTGGATCCAGGATGCACAATCAATCGGCAAAAGGTACTGGGAAGGCATTGATCCGGTCCAAGAAACTTAACCCAAGAACGAAGTCGAAGTCATAAAGAGGAATCACCTTGATGGCTTTCGTTCTGGACCAACCTCCAATAGTTAACTCAATTGCCTTTACGACCCCCGCAATCGGAACCTCTTTGGCATTGACGGTCTTGATAGAACCACTTGCCTTCTCGACATGAAGACCAAGTCTCTTGATAACTGGTTCTGACATGAATAACTCTGAGGCACCAGTGTCCACTAGTGCACTCAATTTTTGCCAGCAATGGTGATGTCAATGAACATCAACCCCTTCTTCTTCGATCTTTCTTAACCTCCATGGTGCTAAGGATGGAGCCAAGCTTTAGAGTCTCACTCTCCTCCCCATCTTTCTCCTTGATGGCCGAGAGTTTATTCTTATGCGGACAGTCCCTCGCCAAATGCCCTTGGCCCTTGCAGTTGTAACACTGGATAATTTACTTGTCTTTCTTATCCGAGTGCTTACCATTCTATGGCTTGCCAGTGCCACTCGAATCTTTTTCGGATTTGGACGCCTAGTCCCTATCACCACTGCTGCCTCAAAACTTTGGCTTCGATTTGGAGTCCACCTTCTTGACGCCAAGCTCAATGATTGACTCGACCGTCGTCAAGGCAACCGAGAGTTCCTTAACTCCTCGTCGCCTTAGCTCGTTCTTCGCCCATGGTTTCAACCCATCCATGAAGGTGAAGAACCTATCCTCTTCACTCAAATTCGGGACTTGGAGCATTAGTTCGACAAACTTTCGAACATGCTCCCTCAATGACCCTTCTTGCTTGAGACGCCTCAACTTGGACCGCGCCTCATCCTCAGCATACTCCGGGTAGAACAATTCTTTGAACTCATCTTGGAATTCTGCCCTGGTCTTGATGGTAGTGTTCCCACGCTTCACGTCGTTGCATCTGCGTCACCACCATGAGGGCAACCTTTGACAAGTAAACACTAGCGATGCTTACTTTCTTGGCATCCTCCGTGATGCCCGTGGCTACAAAGTACTGGTCCAACCCCCAAAGGAAATTCTCAACATCCTGGACGGATCTGGTTCCTTTGAACTTCTCCGGCTTAGGGATGTTACCCAAGGCTTTGGGTGCAATCGTGGCTACGCTATTCCTGAACGCAGCTTTGCACACCAATAACTCGGTCTTGAGCAACTCGAACTCCCTCTTTAGCTCGACCACCTCAGAATCGAAACCCTTGCTCTTGAGTTCCTCAACTTCCTTCCTTAAAGCCACCACCATGGCTTCTAAGGAATCACCTCGATCAGTTGCCTTCACATCTAACTCGTTGAGTGAATCCTGAACCTCCTCCCTGATACTTTCCAAGGACTCCAACTTATCGAGATCCAACGATCCCAGCCTCTTAAGGTCTACGGACTCCAGCACTACCTTGGCTTCCGTCATAGAACCATCGAGCCTGGTAACCTTCTCCTGGATGGATGTGAGAACATCTTTCGAGGGTGCTCTCTTCTTTCCAGCATTGCGGTTTCATTCCCATCGGAACACGTCGCTTCGCCATGTTGTGGTGCCATCTCGAATCAACGAAAATCAGCAAAACAAGTTCTGATACCAGTTGTCACGGGCCTAGACTGTTGCTAGTAAGCTCGTGCGGCCTTAGTCATTTTCAAGGTCAAAAGTCGGCTAAGTAACCCAAACCTCCACTAAGCAAGAATGCTTAGAACGTTGCGAAAACAAAGGAAATGGAAAAATAAAGAGATGGGAGCTCAAATGGAGAAGAGAGAGTTTAGAGTGAATGCTAACTTGTATTCCTCAATCTGAAGTGTGTAAATGAGGTGGGGGTGAGCCTCCTTTTATAGTTGGAGCCCCCTACAATCAACGGTTAAGATTAAATTACATCAACGGTCAGAAAAGAGCCATACTCTATCTATAACTCTAAATTAAAGAATAATTAGTGGGAATTATCTCTAAGATAATTTCAAATAATTATCATGCCTCTTCTCTCTCCAAGGTGGATGGGCCAGCTCTGTTGGGTCTTCTAGAAGGCCCAAAACGTGGCAAAGATAGTCTCTGGCAACCTTGAACGAACTGGGCTCGATCTTGGGCTGGCGGTTTGTGACAATATATACAATCACTAATTATCGGTGATAGCGATGCGAAAGCTTGTATTGGAAAACTCTTGCTTGATTATGTAGGAAGATTTGAACAAAGTAACAAGAGTTACAGTTCAAAGAATTTCCCAAATGATACAAAATAGAAGGCATGACTTTTAGGTAAAAGTCCAACAAAAGAAAATGAGGAAGAAATAGATAACTAATTTTGGTCTTGTTTTGATGTGACTTCCCTTAACTTCAATTTGAAAGTCAATAATAAAATAATTAAGAATAAGATTGAAATAAGGATAAAATAAAAGCAAGAAATTAAAAGATTGGGTATGCTGATACACCCATTTTAAGAACATGCATTCGAATAGATGAAATGTCTAACTCTCTAAAGATGTTTTACCTCAACAAACTAAATGGAGGCTTCGAGTCAATAAAAGATTATCATCTAAATGTCTAAATATTGTTAATTCTTAGCAACTTAGATGATGGATAAGAACATGTCTAACATGTAAGATATTTAAGTTTTTATTAAAAATAAATTTTAAATAGTAAGAAATAAATTTGGAAAATAATAATCAATAAATGAAAATTTTAGTAATACAGCTAGAGTGATGATTATACGAAGTTAAAAACAGAAATCTTAATTAAAAATGACGTGCAATCCAATAAACCTCCCATATCCTTTTAATGGAAGGCAGATTCGGTTTCATCTAATTCAATCCCTTCATCTGCAAGCCTCGTGTCTTTGTAAACATACCATTTAGCAAAAACCAAGTAGATTCCCAGATTCAAGCAACTCAAAATCATCAAAAGCCAATAGAAATTATACAGTCTCCCTCGGTTCAGATTGTCCGGTAGCCATGGTTTCTGATTTCCAGTAACCTTGTGAACAATAGTTACCAACAAAGAACTAATGAAGAACCCTAATGAAAGGGTACTCAAAAACAAACCAGTACTCATCGTTTTCATCCCTTCGGGACATTCCCTTAAGAAAAGGTCAAGCTGCCCTATGTATGTAAAGGCCTCACCGGCACCTACGAACAAAAACTGAGGCACCAACCAGAAGACGCTTAATGGGATTTGAGCCGTAGGGTTATCAGTGAGACCATTTGAGCTTGCGATTCTCAGTCGCTTTAGTTCTGTCAGTGCGGCTGCGGTCATTGAGACAATGGATAAAACCAAACCGACTGCGATCCTTTGCAATGGGGTTAAACCTTGAGGGGTTTTTAGAACTCTTTTTGCAATTGGAACGATGAGTCTGTCGTAAACTGGGATGGTTAGGAGAATGGTGGTTACGAAGAAAACTGTGAGCGATGCTGGTGGGATTTGGAATTTTCCGATGTGACGGTCCATGGTGGTGGCCTGAGAAACTGAGAATGTCGTCATCTGGGCATAGACGGTCCAGAATATGATGGTGCTTGCCCAAATGGGTACCATCCTTACCACCAATTTCACTTCTTCCACGTCTGTTAACGTGGCTATATTCCACTTATTTATTGGCTCAGGACCCGATGGGTTCTTGATCGCCGCCCTGTCCAAGAATCTGCACACGGTTTAAACCTGGTTAACAAAATCGCCAGGAAAGATTATTCTTGTTTTTATGTTGTGTATAACGTTTTTGTGTACAATATCAAAGCCAAAAAGCGTAAGAAATGCAAAAGAAATTATCTGGAAAAACCAAAGCCACATTTTTCATAGTCTATCATGATAATGCAACCTACATCCGTAACTGCATCCGTAATATAAAAAAATAGTTATTTTCAAGATATAAATCATGTCGTAACGTCCATAACACCTTAAATCGCGACCGCAATCGCAATTTAATATTACGGTTCAAAGATAAATTATAATAGAAAATACGAAAAAAGCACGTAAAAGATACGATAAATGAAATTTTTAAAGGTCAACTATCCGCGCTCATTCTTTCTTTGTACATCCTATTCGCAAGGTGGTTTGTAATCACACTTTTTCTACTATAACCACCCATATATTTTACGGTTCAGACTAGAGGAAACCAAATCTCAGTTTGCTAACATAAATTGTCCTTATCTCTAAAGGGAAAGTTCTCGCTTTGGGATGCAAATGTTGGTATAAATTAGTTGCCAGTTTGCTTCTCAAAGTATGCTTTGTTTTTTGCTTGCAATTTGACAATAAGAAAAGGGAAACCAAACAAGAACTCAGGACATGAAGCTGATGTACCCAAAAGCAAGAGAGAACAAAGGCAAAAAGCAGTGGGGTGTTACCGATTCATGAAGAAGACTAGTGATATCTATTCAGGGTATAGACTGTAGAGTGATCCATTTGCAAGAATGAGAGATTTAAATTACGGTTGCGATCGTATTTCTAATTGTATTTATAGTGATTGCGACAATAACGATTATTATTATAACCATTGAGGGTATTAAAATTGTGCAATAACGGTTCCGATCCCTATATAACAATGGCTATTTATATAGCATACCGCTATTTAAATCCTTAACAACAACCCAAAAATTCAACAATTTTACTCTTTGGTTGCCTGCATTAATCAAGGCCCATCTAAAAAGGGTGTCATCCATGAATTTAAATAACAGTACGTTCGAAACAATAGTTGTTATTAGGGGTTTATGCATATGGACTAATAGGGGCTAAATGCATACACATTATTTTAATTAAATATTAAATATAGTTCAACGTTTTAAATGAAGAAGGAAAAACTATGAAATTATGCATCTCGTAATATTAAAAAAAGAATATTAAAAGTTTTGGCCCCACATTTCTAAATTCTTGGATCCGCTTCTGTTCGTTATATAACAGTAAAAATATCCTCCGAAATTATTATTTCACATCTCAATATCCATAATGAATACAGTAGTGCCCACTATTTCAATAATCATAATAATTATAACCCAATTAAAAATGCAACCCCAACCATAGTTTAAATTCCTGATGCCATTATTTACTTGTGGAATTTACTATTTTAAATTCGAGTGACAGAGGGACTAGTAGTTTAAGTCAAGGATCTAAATAAGGTTCATTATCAAAATAGTGGTGATATATAACGATAATAGTATCAGCTAAAACTATTTGTAATCCCTAAATCCAACCTAGAAGGGAATATGGGAGAAAGCGCCGCACAGGAGATATAATCGGAGAAAAGGTAGTTTGTTTTAAAATAAAAAGGCTAAATACAAAGAAAGCCATTAAACTTTCTATAGTTTTGAAAAAACGGAACCAAACTTCCTAATTTTACAATTTCGTCACTGTTTTCAATTGAGGAATTTAGGTTAAAATTTCCCAAATTCTAAAGTTTTAATTTGGGGATTTTTCAGGGTATTGCAATGTTATTTCATGATATGATACCAGCAATGACTATAGTAATACCCGTTGTGTTCGCAATCAATAATCATAAAAGCAATTTAAATCTCTTGTTTAAGTAGATTGATTGTTAAATAAGAAGACTCACCGAAACTCCTTGCTGTGGGGCAACTTCAATTTCTTATTCTTGTTATTGAATCCCTCAGGTACATCGTCAATGTTGAAAAACAAGGATGAATCAGACGGCAATTTCATATCCCTTTTTTTACAGGCAGCTACAAACACTGCGGCGATTTGTGTCAATGGGCTCCCCACTAGTTCCTTGAAACGGTAACGCCTCGTACCCGACAGGAACACCACCAACGCCATCACAATAGCACATGCACAAATACCGTACCCCCATTCACGCCCCAGTTTATCTTGTATGTATACCAAAATGGTGACTGCGCCAAGTGAACCTATGTTTATGAAGAAAAAGAACCAGTTGAAGAAGTTTGTCATTCGGGATCTCTCGTCCGGGTCTGAGTCATCGAACTGGTCCGACCCGAACCCTGAGACGCTCGATTTGAGACCGCCGGTGCCAAGGGCAGTCAGATAAAGGGCTAAGTAGAGAACAGTGAGTTGTATGCCGCTAGCTGGGGTGCATGTAGCGTTTCTGTCCCTGCTGCATTTTGGAGGCCTTAGGCTTGGAATGGCTGTTGAGATTGTCAAAATGGTGACGCCCTGCTTGCCAACATAATCAAAAAAATAAAAATAAATAAATATATGCTATTTTCAATTAACATGACGAGTTCAAGTCCAAGCAAAGGCGACAAATCTTACAGTTGCTTGAACTGTGGCAAAGATTCCAATTGTAAGATACCTGTGAATTTATTGAACAAGAGGAAAATAGTTAGTAACTTGATGGCAAATTTGCTTGGACACTACAGTGCATTGAAAAATTAATTTTTTTTCATTTGAAATTTTGCAGATTTTATTCTTCCAAATAAGGTGAATGTTACAGTATTTTGGGAAGACACCTGAACGTTTCGACATCTTTAACGAAAGACACATGGAAGAATTGTCGTAACTTGAGTGAGCAGTGCATGAGAGGTGGAGAATGGACCAAACCTGCCAAGGAACGTGTCGGCGACAAAACCACCGAGAAGACAGAGCATGAAAGATGTTCCGAGGAAGTTGGTCACGGTGGTGGCTGAGGTAGCATTGCCTAAATGCATGGTGTCGGTTAAATACGTCATCAAATTAACAGCGATACCTAACGTTGTTAGCCTCTCACATGCCTCGACACCTGACGGACACAAATAAATTTTACAGAACATTATTCAAACACCATAAAATGGTTTTCAAAATCTGTTGCCAGAATATATATAATCTATTATAAATGAGATGGTTATAAAAGACCTAGAATCATGGCGCTGGTCCAACCACCGGTCTTGGAACGCTCGGCAGGGCGACCCTTGTAGTCCCAGGCATCATGAAGTGTTTTCTCTTGTGTTATTGGGAGTGTCATTGCCTGATATAAGGTGAATAATGGGAACCGCAGTAGCAGTAATGGCAGCACAATGAAAGAAAAAGGCTGGAAGAGGTATTTATACGGAGTTAATTCAAAATCTTTTTTTTATTACCCTCCATTCCATGGTTTAGTCTTGACTAACCTAGGCCGACACAGGTCACAATACTGACTTTGATAGGTGAGTCTCCCAACAGAGATTTTCTGCATACACAAGGACTCAAAACTGATACATTGCTTAAGTGATATCAAACTACTTACTACTTGAACCAACCGTTGATATTCAAATTTTTTTAACTATCGATATACACATATCTTATAAACATTTTTTAAATGAGAAAAAAGATGGTGATAACAATTTTTTTTATTATTTATTTTTTTCATTTAATAGTCCAAATTCTTTTTTCGACAATGACGCCTGTGGCTAGGAATTGACTTGGTAATTTTTTATTGTAGGACAAAGAATATTATTGATAAAAATAATAATCCCTCCCCGTGAGCGTTGCAATTGCACCTAGTTCTTGTAAGCTTTCTTCGTTTATTGTTGATAACTCCAACTTAACAGCAAAATACATAGCATTAATTTCTTCACAATAAGAATAATGACACTAACTCAAACCAAAGTAGATATCATCAATGCTACAAAAACAGCATAAACACCTCAATCTTATCACCATGCATATAATTGGACATTTTCGGATTTCGGTTAAAATCAGTTTCAATTATCAAATTTATCTTTTTTAAATCAAATTATAAAACAGTTGATTTTATAGATAATAAAAGAAAGTTTTGGGTTAGTTGAAATTCATCACTTGTCAAGTTGTCAAGTATCGCATATAGAGATTTGATAAAATACGTCATGTTTTTTAAACTAAATTTGAAATTAGTTAAAAGATAAATAAAAGTATTTTTACAATTAATTTAGTGATAAAATTAGCCCAATAAACCAAGCGGATAAAAATATTAGTCCACTAGACCGACTCGGATTTTAATTTGGAATCTATGACAAATGTTATAGTGCAGGGCAGACTAATCACGTTCACATGACGAATTAGCCCAAATAATATTTTTTTTATTTAAACTAATCACGTCAAATTCATCACATCGACGTGATAAATTTCAAAAAATATAATTTTTTATTATAATTTGTAAAAAGGGATGACAAGTTCTAATAAAAAATATATTTTATTTAACTCATCATATAAACATGACGAGTTCAAAATCACTGTAACAAATGTCCTAAATCCTAAACTAATTTTGATGATGACCTAATGGACCAATTTTTTGTAAAATTTATTTTATTATTAATTAAATAATGAGTAATATGTAATTATATTATTTTTTATTTATTAAATTAGCATTGTATGAATACTAAATAAAATAGTTTACTGTTTGGATCACTCAAATTAAATAAAATAGTTTGGTGACCAAAATGCAAGCGTCCTAAAAGTTTAAGGACTATTATATACTTTACCCTAAATTTTATATAAATTTTATTATTTGAATTGATTTATTGGATTTTACATTCAATAAGAACTCGATGTAACAAATATGATATGAATTATAGTAAATATAATCTAACAATTGCAGTACAATATCGCAATAATAATAAATGATATAATCTTGTAACAAAATATATAATTTGACAAAGTTAGATGAACAAAAGAATAATTTTGTTTCTTAAGACAAATTATTTCTCTCCTAGGCGTTAGAGGTGTTCAATCAATTAGTTTCATTTTAATCATTAAACGAAGCAATATTTTTTTTCAAAACATTTTAACCAAATTAGATAAAGTTTGGTTGATTCGATCTATTTTGAAATTAACTGAAATTTATAAATAATATATATTTTATATTAAACATTTAAATTTTCCAATTAATTCGGTAAGTGAACCCGACGACAAATTCAAGATTCAAACTCGTAATTCTTTTATTACAGGCCACGACACGACTATAGCCTTCTAGCCTCGTCAATGTCAGAACTGCACTTAAAGGAACTTCAAATTATCGGAGATAATCGATTCACCTCAGCCTTTCTTCAAAATTCTCCACCCTTCTCATGATGTTTTCCTTCATAATATCCACGAGAAATAAAAACAACAATGAAAAGATTTTTTTCAGAAATATTGTAGGGAAAACACAACATAAGTTCAAAATGAAAGAAAATAGAATTGTGGATCTTTCTTAAATAGTTAAAGAGCAAGGTTTATCCCGATCAACCTAAAAATCGTACCTCTTTAAAGCACCACATATTGCATGACATGCGTACAAACTTCCAACCATTTTAAAAGCCAATCATCACACTGGTTTCCAAAAGAAATCCATAAATGCAATAGACATCTTCAAACGCATGTCTCCGTTCAAATTGCTTTATTACATTCACTTTATTAATGAGGACAACTTCTTATACCTCTGGAGATGACGATTATCATAATTATTGCGTTAATTATCATAATTTTTTGATTAATTATCATAATTTTGAGTGATTATTTTGACTATTTTCATTCTGATTTTAATTCTTGAACTTGGACGGATTTGCTGGTATGTTCATTATCCTAGTCAAATGTAGAGTACCAGTTGCTATAACAATGTAACTTATTAGATATTTTTTGTAGATGTTAATTGTTGATTTATAAGTGTGAAAGGCATATATGTCTAATTCCTTGTTTCCGGCAGCCATAAATATCGAGTATGAGAGAGATTTCAAATCATCCAAAACAAAAAGTTTCTCTATATCATATCTGCTTCTCACTCACGATTTTCTCAAGCAATCTTGTTTTCTTCTTAAAGTTTTTCTAAAGGTTTTTTTTGGGTGTATGATTGTTTAGAGATACCGTGTTAACCTTGGGGGATGATCGCTTATTCCAGTGATTATACACATCGAGGCAAAAATGTTTCTAAAGTAGTGGTTTATATCAAGACAATTTATTTATTTGCCTTCTATTTTGTTTATTATTATTTTATCAATGATGACGATTTGATCTTACAATTTCTTACCAACAATTTAGAAACGATTTATATACTGTAAAATATTGAACCCGTGTCAAAGCTTGTTCCTGACTTGTCAAAGCTTGACGCACTTGATGAGAACAATTATCAGAGGTGGTCCTAGCAAATAATCATGTTCTTCGAGCAATACCTTGACTATGTGTTGCTCAAGCCGTTACCCCAACCCTTGTCATCGTACTTAGATGCTTCTTTTAATATTGTTGGAGGAGATGCTACTCACACTCCTAGTAGTGAAGTCTTTTAATCCGTAGGTGCTGTCACTCCTACTCAAACATCCTTAGAGAAGTATGAGAAGGAAAATAAGATGGTTCGTGGCTTTCTCCTAAGTCACATGTCGAACAAGCGTTTTGACATGTTTCTCAAGGAGAAAAGTGCAAATGCTATAGGAAACACTGGAGAAGTATGAAGCCGGTATAAAGAAGTATGTGGTCAGAAAGTGGCTCAAATTCTAGATGTCTGACGATAAGTCTATCATGGATCATTTTTATGATTACGAGAAGTTTGTTTCTAACATCCTAGCTGAGGGCATTAAGATGTGCAAAGTCATGCAAGAAAATGTCCTCATTGAGAAGTTTCCCAAGTCCTAGTGATTACCGTAACCTCTTAAGCACAATTTAGAGGGTGTTTGCAATTGAGGAGCTAGTAAGCCGCTTGAAGATAGAGGAAGCTATCTGACATATGGATAAGTTGATTTCTTTTAATAATCTCTCTTTTAAAACTAATCTAGTTGAATCTGTGTCTGTCTCAGGATCCAAATTTAATAAGCCCAAAGGACGAGGTGACCAGAAGTAGAAGGTTAAAACTCAGAAGTTTGTCAACTTCAAGAAACCTAAAAAGGATAAGGCTCCACTAGAGCCCTTCATCTGTCATGTGTACGGATGAGCTAGACATAAAGATTACTAGTGCCAACAATAGTCAACATCAGAATGAGAGCAAACTACAATTGAACATCACTAAGAATGTCAACGATGTCATAGTAGCAATGCTTTTTGAAGTCAACCTAGTGAAGAAGAATGCTAAGTGGGTTGTACACACTGGTGCTTCCAGACATTTCTATGCCAAACAGAAGTTGTTCATTGAGTTTGAGGATATGAAGAATGGAGAACAAGTGTAAATGAGAACTCTAGCAGCTCTGAAATGCTAGGCAAGGGGAATTATTTCTAAATCTAATCTCTGGTAAAAGTTTATCTTTGAATAATGTTCTGTATATACCTGCCCTGTATAGAAATTTGATTAGCGGTGGGTTAATGAATAAAGCAGGCATTAAACTATTTTTTGAAGTATATAAACTCATACTTTCCCCTAATGGTGATTATGTATGAAAGATTATTTAAATGGAGTTTTATTTATAATCGAAACCCGGTTTAATGAAAGTAATAAAATCACCACTTCTGTTTATATTACTGAGACTCTCGATCTGTGGCATACTAGATTAAGACATGTAAATATTCAATCCCTTAAAAAAAACTTATTAAAATAAATATACTTCCTAATCTAGACGAGAATATCTTTAACAAATGCGAGACCTGTGTAGAAGCCAAGCATGCTAGACCTTTTTTCAAAACCGTTTATGAGAGAAAGACTGAACTGTTAGAACTTATTCATATTAATCCAGAAGACTTTAGAAACTCTGAGAGTAAGAGATGTAAATACTATTACATAACCTTTGTATATGACTTTTCAAGATATTCAAAGGTATATCCCCTTAGAACTAAAGATGAATCTAAGAACTTCATTCCTATTATAAGGAAGAAGTTAAAAATCAACTTGATAGGAGAATAAAATAGCTTAGATCCAATAGAGGTAGTAAATACATATTCAATTTCCTTAAAGAAGTGTGTGACAAGAATGACATAATTCATGAAACCTTTACCGCTATATTCCTCAACAAAATGACAGAGCTAAGAGGAAAAACATAACCTTAAAGGAGATGATGAACTCTTTGCTTTTAAGTTTTGGGTTATTCGATAAAGTGTAAGGGGAAGCTATTCTATCAACAAATCACATATTAAA